AGGTCTAACTGGGAATAAAGATTTATTTGGTCAGAATGCATTTCCTACTCCTTGCTTCACTACAAGTGTCCACACTTCAAATAGTATCATTTTTTTTTTTTTGGTTCTGTGAGGTCACAATAGTCTGCAGATCTGAACTCTTGATCAAAATGTAAAGCAGGTTGTTTTCACTGAAGTTTGATTTTGTAGCTATTTACCTCTTAGCACCAATTCATCTTTGTTGGGTTCACTTTAGCAAATGTTTGTCCATAGTAATCATGAGTAGACAATGTTTTACCTTGTTCCTGTCCTGGAACCTTTACATGGGCAGGCTGTTAGGAATTTATTTGAATACAGCTTTGGATTTGTGAAAAATGAAAATGAAGAGGAACAATGAGTCATTATAATTTTTTACAAATTTCTTCCTAACAGGAAGAAATTCTGACTTATGTTTGCATGAATATTTGGAAGCTTGTTTTGAGTATTTCTTTTTGTTGTTGTTAGTGATGCATTTCTATGATAATTTTAGATATTATATTTGTATTACATTTACATTTAGATTTTAGATGAATGAATTGCAATAGCCTTTATTATCAAATGTCAGTCTGTGAGTTCCTTGTTTCAAATTGCAGTGGACATTTGTTATAATAGTATAAGATTATTCATTGCAAAGTGAGTAAACTTTTGCTATAGTGTGCATCCATCTCAAATCATAGATGTGATGAAAAATAGTAGATTGGATTGGTTAAGGAGAGATGCCTGGTAAAGCCTAACTGATAAATAATATTTGAAGATACTCTTGTAGAAGGATGATGGAAGAACAAGTCACCAGAAGATGAAGGAAACCAAAATAGTACTTGCCATGTGCTACATGCTTTACAGACATTACCTAATTTATTTTCTGAAGGTCCTCATAATGAGGCTATTAAAATATCCTATTATGCATGAGGATATGGAGACTCTAAGAAGTAAATTACCCAAGACCATGGGACTAATGACTGGCGAAGATAGTATTTAAATGCATGCTTTGTTTTCTACTAGGAAAAGTGGACCTGACATGATAATAAGTTGTATGGTGGCAGTGTTTAGAAGAATGATTCTTCAAGTAAACTTGCTTCTCAGCCACCATGTATCAAGGAGTAGGAATTTGGGTGGTGTTCCCTATAACATAGAATTAAGAAGGCAAATCTTGGCTTGAGATAAAAAAGAAATATTCATATTTAGTGTATAAAAGAATCTCAAAGCATAAATGGTAAAAAGGATGAAAAAAAGGGAAAAGTAGAGTGAAAGAAAAAGACTCTAATAATGGCTAAAGGCAGAGCAGTGTGGGTAGTTAGAAGAGGAGTGAAATAGGGTGAAAGCCCTTAATTCAGACTTTGCTCTTGTGTAAAGTTTCATTAAGAAGGGGAAATGTCCTGTGTTAAGTGCCTGTTTGATTCCAGAAGTTACTTTTTGTTTTGTGAATTGATTGGAGCACTTTCAATGGATTCTGTGCTGAACAAGGATATAATTGGAAAATTGTATATGTTTATGCATGTGTACAGGAGCATTAGGAGGGGCCTATTTTTGGGGAAAAAATTCACAGAGGTGGCTCATGACCTTCTGAGGAAGGACTTTAGGGGTGACAAACACCTTTCATAATTCTTGGGTGATAAAACTGGATAGTTCCCTGAAAACATTCAAACTGTGAACTGTTATGGATCTGCCATGTTAGAAGTTATCTTCTTAATTATAGGGTTTCTTTGGGGTCTTTTTCTATTAGACTTTTATAGCAATTCATTAAAATGGCAATTAATGGATGTTTACAGAATTAGCAGTCATAGACTGGGAGTCAATATATGCAAATCACATACATGATAAAGCACACATTCAGAACATGTAAAGAACTCTGAAAATTCAACAGAAATTTTTAAAAAATCATTTAAAAACAGGCAAAAGATATGAACAGATCCTTTACCACAAAAATGACCATAGAAATATGTTCAACATCATTAGTCATTAGGAAATGCAAATTGAAACCATGATGAAATATAACTACACATCTATTAAAATGAATTTCCAAAACCTGTTGGCAATACTAAATGTTCATGGAGATGGGATGGCACATTGCTGGTTGCAATGCAAAAGTGACACAGCTGCTCTGGAAAACTACGTTTATTGCAAATTTAAATGTGTACTTTCTATATGTGTATTATCCCACTACTGGATATTTACCATAAAAATAATGGAACCTGATATTCATTAAAAAATTGAAGCAAAAATACTTACATTACTCTAATCATAACTGCCCCGAACTGGAGACAACTGAAATGTTCTTTAAAAGATAAATGGATAGACAACTGTAATACACCCATTCAATGGAATTCTTATTTAGCCCTAACAACTTGAATGAATATTAGAGGCTTTAAGCTAGGTGAGAGAAGCTCAGCTTGGTTCCATGTCATTTGTAGGACATTCTGGATAAAGTGAAACTATGGGGCCAGAAATTACATCAGTGGTTAACAGGGTTTGTGAGTATGTGGAAGAAGTAAGTAGAAAAGAAATTGTATGAAAGATTTTTGGGAGGTTATAAAAGAGTTCTGTGATATGGTTATAGTGGTAGTTACTTGATTCTATACATGTTTAAAATTCTTAGAGTTGTACATAAAAAGGTAAAAAGTCAATTTATTTTTAACTGAATGATAGTTTTAAAAAATTAGGATAGAAAAATCATTCTATCTCTTTCACTGCTATTCCACCCTAAAAAGACATTGCATTTTGAGAAGAATATTAGGCTTAAAGCAATCCTTAGCAAGAAGAGTGAAGCAAGAGGCAGCACAAAACCAGACCTTAAACTATACTACAGAGCTATAGTAACAACATCTGCGTGGTATTGGCACAAAAATATACATGTAGACAAGTGGTACAGAAAAGAAGACGCAGAGACAAACACATATAAATACAGTTATCTCATACTAGACAAAGGTGCAAAAAACATAAATTGGAGAAAAGATAGTTTCTTCAACAAATGGTGGTGAGGGAATTGAAAATCCATATGCAGTAAGATGAAACTAACGCCTTATTTCTTACCATGAACAAAAATCTCAACTCAAAGTGGATCAAGGACCTAGGAATTAGACCAGAGACCCTATGCCTAAAATAAGAAAATGTAGGTCCAAATTTTCATCATGTTGGATTAGACCCTGATTTCCTTAACAAGACTCCTAAAGTGCAAGAAATAAAATCAAGAATCAATAAATGGGATGGATTCAAACAAAAAGCTTCTTCTCAGCAAAGGAAATAATGAGGTGAAGAGAGACCCTACATTTGGGGAGCAAATTTTTACCACACGCAGATCAGATCAAGCACTAATCTCCAGGATATATAAACAACTCAAAAAACTTAACACCAAAAAAAAAAAACCAAACACACAAACAAACAAAACAACCCAATCAATAAATGGGCTAAGGAACTGAACAGACACTTCTCAGGAGAATATTTACAATTGATCAACAAATGTAAGGAAAAATGTTCAATATCTCTAGTAATTAGATAAATGCAAATCAAAACTACTCTAATATTTCATATCTCTCCAGTCAGAATGGCAGTTATCAAGAATCCAAGCAACAAACGATGTTGGCGAGGATGTGGGGGGAAAGCACACTCATACATTGCTGGTAGGACAGCAAATTTGTACAACCAATCTAGAAAGCAGTATGGAGATTCCTTAGAAAACTTGGAATGGAACACCATATGACCCAGCTATCCCACTCCTCGGTCTATATCCTCAAGCTTAAAAACAGCATACTACAGTAATTCAGCCACTTCAATGTTTATAGCAGCACAATTCACAATTTCTAAAGTATAAGAGCAACCTAGATGCCCTTCAATAGATGAATGGTTAAAGAAACTGTGGTACATATACACAATGAATATTACTCAGCCTTAAGAGAGAATAAAATTATGGCATTTGCAGGTAAATGGATGGAGTTGGAGAGTATCATGTTAAGCAAAGTAACCAGGGGCTGAATGTTTTCTCTGACAAGTGAATGCTAATCCATAAGGAGGGTGGTGCATGGAATAAGTGGAGGAACTTTGGATAAGGCAAAGGGAAGAACATGGCAAAGGGGTAGAAAAGATAGTGGAATCAGATGGACATCATTACCCTAGATACATGTATGATTGCATAAACGATGTGACTCTACTTCATGCACAACCAGAGAAGTGAAAAATTCTGGTCCATTAGTGTACACTGAATTGAAGAGCTTTCTACTGTCAGGTATAACTGATTAGAACTAATAAATTTTAAAAAAGAGAAAAAATAATATTAGGCTTTGCACAAGAATTGCACTCTCTTTCCCCCCACTATTGACAACTAGGCACTAATATGATTGGGTTCATTTCTCTCTTCAGTTTGATTCACTTCTTTTACTATTTTAATACTTATGGGTTATTACCAAGTTCTGATCTGGAGCCACACTGCCTTTCTAAGTAATTTACCTCATCTCTGATATGACACATTGTGTATTATTTTTATGGTTTATAGAAAAATGTCAGATAAATATGTGCCACAGGAAGGTAGGCTTGAACTTGAACACAGGCTTTGCTAAGCATTTAATGTATGACTTCAGGCTTAACTTCCCTATGTTAGGTTTTACTATCTATAAAAGAATAATATTGTAAGGTTTCAATGACATAATATATGATAAAGATTCCTATGAAAAACAAACCTAGCCCAGAATAAATAATCAATATAATTGTTTCTTTCTCATACTCATCCTCTTACATTATTTTTAAAATTTTTTTTTATTGGTTGTTCAAAACATTACAAAGCTCATGACATATCATCTTTCATACCTTTGATTCGAGTGGGTTATGAACTCCCATTTTTTCTGTTTATTTTTCTTCTTCTATTTCTGATTTTATTTCTATTTCTTCTCACTGGGTTTATTACAATTTTTCATATTTGTGCATTGGTTTACTTAGGCTTATTATACTGGAATAGTTAAAAAATATTTAAAAAATGCTTTGAATTCTTACAGGTGAAATAGAGATGATAAAATGGAATGGGAAAACCAAACCATTCTGGTGGAGTTTTTTCTGAAGGGACTTTCTGGTTACCCAAGGCTTGAGGTACTCTTTTTTGTACTCATCTTATTATTGTATGTGGTCATCCTTCTGGGCAATGGAACCCTCATCATACTCTCCATCCTCGACTCTCGCCTCCACACCCCTATGTACTTCTTCCTGGGGAACCTCTCCTTCTTGGACATCTGCTACACTAGCACCTCAATTCCTTCCACTCTGGTGAGCTTCCTCACAGAAAGAAAGACCATTTCCTTCTCTGGCTGTGCAGTGCAGATGTTCCTTGGCTTGGCCATGGGGACAACAGAGTGTGTGCTCCTGGGAATGATGGCCTTTGACCGCTATGTGGCCATCTGCAATCCCCTGAGGTATCTCATCATCATGAACAGGAATTCCTATGTGACCATGGCAGCTGGCTCCTGGCTTTCAGGGGTTGTCAACTCTGCAGTGCAAACTGCATTTGTGGTACGGTTGCCTTTCTGCAGGAATAATGTCATCAATCATTTTTCTTGTGAAATTCTGGCTGTCATGAAGTTGGCCTGTGCTGACATCTCAGGTAATGAGTTCATCATGCTTGTGGCCACAACTTTGTTCATTTTGATGCCGCTGCTCTTGATTGTTATGTCTTACTCATTAATTGTTTCTAGCATCCTCAAGATTCGTTCCTCTGAGGGGAGAAGCAAAGCCTTCTCTACCTGCTCAGCACACCTGACTGTGGTGATAATATTCTATGGTACCATTCTCTTCATGTACATGAAACCCAAGTCTAAAGATGCATTTAATTCAGATGGTCTGGATGCAACAGACAAACTTATATCCATGTTCTATGGGGTGATGACTCCCATGATGAATCCTTTAATCTATAGTCTTAGGAACAAGGATGTGAAGGAGGCATTAAAAAATTTATTGAGCAGAATATTAATTTGCAAGTGAATGTATATATTGTGCTGTGAACTAATTGGACATTGTTAAAACTTGAGAATTACATTGGAATTTTGGTTACTTTAACTTTGCTGTTTTGTGTATTATGTTAAAATTATTAGATGCTCATAAAGAGTTTTCATGGTACAAAACAGTAACATAAGACATAGAGAGAGGTCACCTGCCATCAAGATATGGGTACTTGCAAACTTTTTGTTTTCTTCACATTCTTTAGGTTTTTGCAGTATCAAGGTAGGAAGTTGTGTACCTTTTTATGTTCGTTTTTGTGCATAAATATAGTATTAAATAGGCAATAATGCATCAAATCTTTAAAAATTAACATAGCTCTCTATTGTGAAAAAAATCCTCAGAGAAAATCCCCAAATGCTTCATTCATATTTTCTATTAGGGAGCTTCTATTGCAGTTTTGCATTAATCTGCAAATCTACTTTAGCCATCACATGCTATTTATTTATTTAGCACTGAGTATATAATTTAACTCAGAGGCAGTTTACTGTTGAGCTACATCCCGAGATTTATTTTTTATTTTTTATTTTGAGACAGGGTCTTACTGAGGCTAGCCACTACCTTGCAAGAGTATGTTGAAATATTTAAACCTTCAGTTCAAGTAGTTCTTCTAGTTGATAAATTTATTTCTTGTTCTTCCAGTAATTTACCTCTAAACCAGAGGTTGCTTTATAGACTGTAAAATTAATAGCTCGTTGTGTCTCTTATACTTATAGCCAGTCTTCACATATCCTCATTAGTAACTTAACCTCCAAAAAGGCAGTTACCATAAGTAACCACTTTGTCACAGAAATTTATTGACTCCTGATATGCCCCGAAACACAATGTGTGGATATGATTACTAGGTGTGAAAAAATGATTACTAAGATTAAGTGTAATTCAATTCCTCTTGTTCAGATAAAGTGTCATTACATTTCTTTAGTTTAACATTAAGAAGAAAACTAATATTTAGCAATAAATTTTAGGAACAGGTCAAATTAAATTTTCCCTGAAAACAAAGGTTGAAATACTGCTCATTGTGGAGATACACAAGATCCTAAAGATCTGCTTCAGGGTTTAGAAGGCAATTTAAATATTCTGCTATTAAAGACTATTCTGAACATCTGTGCACAACTTTAAATTGACTCATAGATTAAATATGAACAAAAGTTATGAAACTTCAGAATAATGCCCTGAAGAGCTAACTACAAGAGGTCTATGACTCTATTTCAACTCTAAAATCAGAAGGAAGTCCATGTATTTTCATCAAAATTTCCTCAGCTGAATTCTTTCAATCTTTCCTTCCCTCTGTCTCCAAACCTCACACAAATATTTTGAAAGTATAATTATTGACTGTATGAAAATAAAATTTTCATTCACTTTATAGATTTAGTTTAGAGTGAAAGTTAACATTTCGAACACTTATTTTCATTAATTGTAAAAGTCATACACAGTGTAGAAATAATGAACAATTAAAAAAATAGAAGGAATGGAAGAAAGTAAAGGAAGGCAGGGCGGGAGAGAGGGAGGGGGAAAAAAGGCAAGCAAAGAAGTTATCCTCTAGCAACACACAAAGGTAAACAACAAATAGTGTTTATATATGTTCAATATTATAATTGAATAGCTTAGTAATAACCACAGCTCAAAAAGATCACCAAGGTCACAGATCTCATCAGACAACAGACAAGACATGAACAGGGGTAATCTCATTAAAAAGAAGAGCTTGGATGCTCTAATAAGATTTGGATAGCATTAGAGCAGATTATGCTCAGTGAAGTTAGCCATCCCAAAAAAACCAAATAGTCTTTGAAACCCTAGAACAATTATACAAAAGAAATAAGTTAAAGTGAATAGGAAAAGAAAAGCTCAAACTATCCCTATTTGCCAACGACATGATTCTATATTTAGAAGGCCTACAAAACTCTCCCAGAAAGAATTTTGAACTCAGAAATGAATTCAACAAAGTGGCAGGATATAAAATTAACACACCTAAATCAATTGCATTCCTATATGTTAGTGATGAATCAGCCAAAAGAGAAACTAGGAAAACTGTCGCATTCACAATAGCTATCCCATTCACACATAACAAAAACAAAAGAAAACATTCCAAAACCAAACCAAAACAAACAAACAAAAAAACTTGGGAATTAATCTAACAAAAGAGGTGAAAGACCTCTACAATGAAAACTGCAGAACACTAAAAAAGAAATTGAAGAAGACCTTAGAAAATAGAAAAATCTCCCATATTCTGTGTTAGGCAGAATTAACATTGTCAAAATGGCCAAGGTACAAAAAGCACTATACAGACTTGATGTAAATTCTATTAAAATTCCAATGGCGTTCTTCATTCAAATAGAAAAAGTAGTCATGTTATTCATTTGGAAAAATAAGTGACCCAGAATAGCCAAAGCAATTCTTAGTGAGAAAAGTGATGGAAGAGGCATCCCAATACCAGACCTTAAATTATACTACAGAGCTGTAGTAACAAAATGGTATTGGAACCAAAACAGACATGAAGACCAAAGGAATAGAATAGAAGACACAGAGACATACCCACATAAATTTAATTATCTCATTCTAGACAAAGGCTCTATAAACATACACTGGAGAAAAGATAGCCTCTTCAACAAATGGTCCTGGAAAATTGGAAATCCATATATAGTAGATTGAAATTGAACCCATGTCTCTTACCTACATAAAACTCAACTCAAAGTAGATCAAGGACCTAGGCATTAGATTAGAGACCCTGTACCTATTAAAAGAAAAGTTGGCTCAACTCTCCATTGTGTCAGCTTAGGAACCAAATTCTTCAATAAGACTCCTAAAATGCAAGAATCAATAAATGGGATCACATCAAACTTAAAAGCTTCTTCACAGCAAAGGAAAAAATCAAAAATATTAACAGAAAGCCTGCAGAATGGGAGAAAATCTTTGCCACCTGCACATCAGATAGAACATTAATCTCCAGGATATATAAAGATCTCAAAAAACTTAACACCAAAAACAAACAAACAACCCAATCAATAAATGGGCAAAGGAACTGAACAAACCACTTCACTGAAAAAGAGAGATGAGTGATCAAAATATATGAAAAAATGTTCAGCATCTCTAGCAATTAGAGAAATGCAAATTAAAACTATACTGAGGCTGTGGGGAGAAATGTTCACTTATACATTGCTGTTGGGACTGCAAGTTGAAGCTGGTACAATCACTATGGAAAGCAGTCTATACAGAGGATTCCTTAGAAAACTTGGAATGGAATGACCATTTGATCCAATTATCCCACTCCTCGATTTGTATCCAAAGGACTTAAAATCAGCATACAGTGACACAGCCACATCAATGTTTATAGAAGCTCAGTTCACAATAGCCAAGCCATGGAACAAACCTAGGTACCCTTTAACAAATGAATGGGTAAAGAAAATGTAGTATATATACTCAGCCATAAATAAGAATGAAATTATGGCATTCACCAGTAAATGGATGGAACTGGAAAATGTGCTAAGTGAAATAAGCCAGTCCCCCAAAACCAAAGGCTGAATGCTCACTTTGATATGTGGATGCTAACTCACAAGAAGGAAGGGTAGTGAGGGGAAGAATAGAAGTTCATTGGATTAGACAAAGGAGAATGAAGGAGAGGAAGTGGGGATGGAAATAGGAAAGGCAGTACAACGAATTGAACTTATGAATGAATCAAAATGAATGCTCATAAGTGAACAGACAACCATAAATTAATAGACAACTCCACATCATGCACACCCACAAGAATGGGATCTTAACTGGAATGGGTCATACTTTATATATGTATAATATGTCAAAATACTCTCTACTGTTACTTATATCTAAAAAAATTAACAAAAAGAACTTTAAAAGTGATTTTAAGTCAAACTCTCTTATTTATAAGTAGTACTTGAAACAAAGAAAAAGTTTAAACTAAAAAATTGTAGAGAGGTAAACAGAAGGAATCTAAAAGAAAGTTCTAGTGTAATATTCATGTAATAAGAATGGAAATTAACTTTAAAGTATCAAATAAGATTGATATGCTAATCAGTGATAACTGTCATAATTCATAAAGAAGATATTTCAGTCATAAAGCCATATACACATCAACACAGAAGCTAAACTCATTTTTTAAAATGATTCTAGATTTACAAGAAGAATTGAATTACAAATATTTATCCAGAATTGATTAAATTAGGGTGGCAGAAAATTAGAATTATTGAAAAGATTGTGATAATACAAAATAAACTTATCATACATATACATGTTGTGTGTATGTATGTAAAGTTACATATGTTTCTGAAAGAGAAATCACATTTTTTGTTAGCATTTACAAAATAGCATAAAATGAGAGTTGCCTATGTATGTGTTCTTTTCTCGTGATGAGATATTTCTGTTCTATTTTTTAACTTTTAAAACATATATCATGTAATTGACTGTCAAAAAGTTCATAAGTAGAGAATTATAAGTCCCATTTTCTTATAATAAAATAAATTATAGGTTCCCCAAAGATCATTTTGTGTATTATTTCATGAGATAATTAGTAAGCTGCAGCTATAGAGACACAGAAGACACTCAGGAAAACAAAGTTTATTGTACTTACAGGTCCTACAAACAAAAGAATGACACATCATGCAAGACATATAAGGAAGACACCAGCATGGTCAGGAGGCAGAAGATAGGAGAAAAGGGAAGGTTGATTTCACAGCCTTTATTAAGATTTCCATAGAAAAGTCAAGATTCCCTGTCCAGGGCAGGGTGAACAGCACAGACAACTTCAATAATCTCTTCAGCCTTTGGTGCCAAGGGGAAATCCCTAGTTGCCAGGCACCTGGTCCTAGGATGACTGAGGCAGAGGGATATTGCTTCCTGGGTGTATGGGACAGATAGAGGAGTGATGGCTCTAAACTGGTTAGTTTGAAAGGCATGTTCTCAGCTGGGCCCATTACTATGTCCAAGAATTGGCTAGACACTGGAGGGTCTCCAGCCAGAAAGCTTTTCTTTAAGACGTCAAACATCTTAAACATGATGAAAAGAAAAATTTAAAAACATGTTTACAACATGATACTCAATTCAATTCATTCCTGTTGCTTAATATTTCCTTAGCACTGTTCTAGACACAGTTGAATTGGTG